GATCGCCTCAAATTTAAAGCTAGTTTTTTGTTTATTTTGATTTATTAATTTATTCAAAAAAATTTTTTAGTCTCAGAGCCCCATTTTCCTAGCAAACCTCCCATATGCGAAAGAAATTGATATGATATTGTAACTTTGTATATACTTACAGGTGTCTATCATCGATTATGCATTGCAATGAACTTAAGCCAGAATATGTTGAATGTTCCAAAAAGACATGGAATGAAGCTCGTCCAAGATCATTAATCCTGAAGGAGTTGCCAACAGTTTTCGACTTAGTAATAATTGAATATAACAGGATAAATATCTTCCTTAATATTATTATAAACAATCAAATACATTAATTTGCTTGCTTATGTTTTTTTTTAGCTTTTAAGTGACAAACAATCACTCCATACAAGGTGGCGTAATAATTGGGCAAAAGGGAATACATTATTAATAGACGAAGACAAAGACATCTGCAGATAGTTTCGAGAAATTTGTAAGTTTTAAAATTAATAAAAATATTTGTTAATTGTATTATTAATACTCATTTTTTGCCTCGCAGTTTTACCTATTTGTCTTCGGTAAGTTATAATGAGGATAAAAAATTGGACAAAGACACTTTCGTCTACGATATTGTCACCAAATTATCAAAGAAATATTCAACAAAGCCGAATTCTCATTGGTTTGGTAAGTTTCATGTAATCATTATGGTATACTTAATATACTCTTACATTTTCTTTATTGAAATAAAGGGCCAATGGAGAATCTGAAAGTTTCAAGGAGAGACATTTATTGGACGGTCATAAGCATGGTAAAAAACCAGACTTCCGGATCTTCACAAAGATTGATGACACTGACAGAGAACTCATGTTTGGTGAGATAAAGCCACCACATTGCATTAACACCGTAAATAAAAGCATAATAAAATTAGCAGAATTCAGAAGTAAAACCAATAGGGTCAGAAATTAAAATTTTTAGCATTGATTTGGCATTTGACGGTCTATACCGTTTTAACCTATTGTCAAAACTATTACTTCCTACGGAAAATGCGAATTTTTTAAACATAAACACTGTAGTATCTACCCTATATTCATTATTGGTAAGAATCTTACTTCATGATCTTCAAACAAGTCACTTCGCAGTTTAACCTCTTTGTTTTTTATTTATGTAGGAAAGGGTAAGATTTACTATTAGTACTATAAATTCATCCCAATCTTCAACTCAATCATCTCCCCGCCACTCATATTGTCGAAATTCAAATTCGTCACCTAAAAAAATATGTGTACTGATAGTCGGAGCTTAATTAGGTGGGCATAAAAAATTCATATGTTGGCTTAAAATATGGACGATTAAATAGTATTGTGATAGTCTATATTCGTGTACAATGTATGCTTTCATATTAAACAAAAATGTTACAATGCGAAATATCAATTATCTTAATTATTTTTTGTTGTTTACTTTTGCAACCTTATATGTGAACATTGAACATGGATGAGTATATGCTTCGTTTATATGCCAATTTTTTTTATATGTAATCATGTTTATTTGTACGAACATCAAATGTGTACGTTTAACTATTACAGTATTTTAATCAAAATTTTTTCTTTGCGAAAGTGATCAGCGTGAACAATTAATTGTTCATGCGCACGTGATTTTTTATGTATACGAGCAGTTAGCAAGATTAAAAATAATGTTTAAAATTAAATAAAAGTATTAAATAGACATAAAAAAAGGAATTTTAAAAAGTTTCGATTATTCATATAATAAATATATCAAATAATAAATGATTTTTCCAATAAGATCTTAAACTGGCTGAACCGTTCGCTTTTAAAAGTTTATAAATTTTTCGTGAGAAGTCAACGAACATTTTGATGTAATAACTGTTTGATTTGGTTAGAAATTATAACACAATTTATATATTAAAAAAGGGCATAAAATCATATAAAATTTTGTCAATCAAATGGGCCTTTGCAATAGAAAGGGGGGAAACTGCCAGAAAAATCAAAAATGAGTTAATGCTAAATTTGAAAATATTTCAGCCTAAAATCATATTTGGCATATAAAAAGTAAAATTAATTTTTCCTGGCAGTTTTCCCCCTTTCTATTGCAAAGGCCTCAAATGATTGACATCTATATCAATGTCATTTGCTATGATCGATGTCCGGTGACTAATATGATTTATATAGTTTCGCATCTTTGAGTGATTCGACCGTTGAAACTACTTTCAACAAGAAATTGATTAGATTTCATCCCTTTATATAAGGGAAAGTTAACACAGTTCCTTTAAGAAGAATTTCGCGGTAACCATGTCAATCAATAAGGAACTAATAATGTTTCGCATTATTCAACATTCATTGATTCGCAGATTAGAAATTTTTAACAAAATTCTAGGGTTTATTTATGCTATGGTCATGCTAAAATCGGTTAACGCAGTGTTGTGCTCTTGGAAGATTGGAAGCATTATTGAAGGCACCTTTGGAAGGTTTGGAAGCATAATTTTATAATAAAATCATTTGGCTTGGAAGCTTTCAATCAAAATTTATACCATTGGAAGTATAAATGCACATCACTAGGTTAGGCATTATTTAGGTCCCATACCACACATTTAACCCTGCACATTGCACATTTTGGGAATTTATTTGAAAACATTTAAAATTTGTTTCGCAGTTTTTGATCCTTTAATTCCTCAACTCGGGTATCTTTTGAAATAAATTAAAACATGAAAAAAAAATGAAACGTCTTTGATTCCTTACAGATTAGACGGTTGCCTACGGATTAGGTCAATCGCGATAAGTATTGATGTGTAAACAAATATTTCATTTTTTAAGGAAAAATTAGAAAATATAGTTCAAAGAGAATGTAAATGTGTATAATTAACATTTTCTGCGTTAACAATTTTGGATGATCGGCAAAGTTACCACGTGATTAAAGAATCCTTTGGAATATTCCGAATGTCAAGAGAAGATCCAAATTTTAAAGGTGTGAAATTATTAGTTTTTTTGTTTTTCAACATCGTTTTTAAATAAAAAATAGATACGTGATTTCTAAATTTTGATACATCTAATCGGTAAAGATGGCTCTACAATACAGGGAGAACGAGTACTGTTTTCACGATGAGGATGAACAGGTGAATAAATACATTATTTGTTTATTTTTTAATCCTTATGAGTAACATTATTACTTTAAACTAATAGACAATGTTACTTCGTGCTCTTGCGCTATCTCTTGAAAAGGACAACAATAATTATCATGATATAGCCTCCGGATCCATGGGACTTGGACCAGCGAGCCCTCATTCAGGTACTCAATCTGCTGGTCAAAAAAGTCAATTTCCTAGAATGGTCATAATTCATCCTCCTAAAAAAAACATATTTCGAAAATTATTTGAGGGTTTTCTCGGGTATTTGTCTTGATGATCAGTTTCCTTTGTCCTTGGAAACTTTATTTATTTATTTATTTATTTTTATTAAACCTTATACCGATTATTTTCTAGGTTTTGCTTATTGAGTATCAAAACTTTAATACTTGCTGCCTCCTTTGCCTTTTCGTTTATCTTTCTAATTGCTATAAATGTTGATCATCAAAAAGAAATTGAAAATCGAAAGTCAGGTATGAAATATCTTATTGAATGGTTGTTCTTACTTTTATTTCATTTATTGACAGTTTTTTTTTTTTTTTTACAGAGGTAGAACGAGAAATTCAAGATTGCAGCTTGAAATATCTCGAAAATCGATGCAATCCTGTCACAAGAGCGCCATATTTGGAAAACAATTGTACTTTTTGGGAAGATTGTATGAACCGAAATCCAAGCAATAATGTTAAGGAAGCGGAACTTTATGCTAAGCAAATGGCTCGAATAATTTCCATATTTCTCGAAAATTTATCATATGAAGCGAGAATGATGTTTTTTGTGTTCCTTGTTATGATCTTTGGTTATATAACTTTTAAGAATCATAAATAGCCTCAAAAGGTCATCTTCAGCTCAATCCTCCCCAAAAAAGAAACATGCATATACTGTATATATAGAATCATATAGAATTCATAAATAATTGATTTATTACAAGACATTATTATAATAATCATTTTTAATTATTAAAAGATTTTACAATATCAATTTTGAAAAATGGCGTTTCAATAAAGATCTTTACAATTTTGGCTTTGTCGTTTCCATCCAAGAAAATTCCTTGATGTTTTTTTTTAAAAAAAAATGTCAGATTTTTTTTTTAATATTTTTGTAAAAAAAAAAAATAAATAAATTGAATTGACATTCGAACATACCAATTTCTTTTTTCCGGCTGGTTGAATCATCACATTAATAACAATACATCTATCATCATCCTTCAGCGATTCATCAAGAGCATTACTTAATTCTTGAGGAGTTTTCACAAAATAACCTTTACCACCTGTAGCATCAGCAATTAACTCATATCTAACTTCTGGTAATAAAGCGGTTGAAGGTAAATTATTTAAAGGGGTTTCGTTAAAAGTTTTCGAATCTAAACCATGATAAATTCCATTATTATTGATTATTATGATTAAAAGTGAAAGATTTGCGCGGACAGCTGTTTCAATTTCCATTGCACTATAGAAAGAAAGAGAGATTTGTTGAAATTAGATGATCGATTTTTTTTAATTTATTATATATATTTATATAATTCACCTGAATCCAAATGCAGAATCCCCTACAATAGCAACGACGCGCTTATTTGGACAACATAATTTTGCTTAATAACGTTAAAAAAAAAAATGATGAATATTTATAGAAAAATATATAAATATGATTTTAAATTAAAAATACCTGCTATGGCATAACCCATACCAACTCCCATGGTTGCCATGGTGCCTATAGTGACAAAAAAAAAAAATTTAAATATATATAAATAATTCAATGCTGAACAATTTTACTGTTATGTCAAGCAATATTTACCAGCATCTAATCGACACCTAGGTTCTTGTATATCAAAAATGGATCTAGCAATATCCATAGTATTTGCACCTTCGCTCACAAGTACAATATCATTTTTTGGTAACTTTTGTTTGATCTCATAAAAAGCACGATAATAACTCATAGGGATATGATCATCATGAAATTTTTCATTAGTAATCTTAATGTTGTCATTAATTTTTTGATTAAGTGAAATGAAATAATCTGATGTCAAAGAATATTTAAAAGATTTTGGTAATGAATCAATAAGTTGCGAAATAACTAGAGGAAGATGACCTAGTAAAGCAATGATAATTCTAGAGTTATTATAATGTTCTTCTGGCAATATATCAATTTGAATAATCTTTACATCTTTATTAAATTTTGGAGATAAACCAAAATGTAAGATCCAATTCAGCCTTGCGCCTAATAATAATATAACATCCGCATTCGCCAACGCTTTTGATCTTGCAGCCGACACGCATAAATGATGATGATCAGGTAAAACACCTTTACCCATTGGAGTAGGAAGGAAAGGGATATTTGTTTTTTCAATAAGTTCTTTAATCTCATTTTCGGCACGAGAATATGCTGCACCTTTACCGATAATGACCAAAGGTCTTTTAGAATTTACAATTAATTCTATTGCATTATTGATCTGAATCGGGTCAGCAAGTGATTTGGGTGGATCCGGTGCTCGATCCGGCAACGTTATCGAATCCAAATTTATTGATCCTTGAATATAATTTGCTGGTAAATCAACATAGACTGGTCCAGGTCTACCATATATTGATATTCTAATCGCTTTATCTAATACATTTGGAATATGTGAAATTGATGGTGGTCTTGTGGAATATTTGGAATTTGCTCTACAAAGAGTTACTTGATCTAATTCTTGGAATGCGCCCATTCCTTCTTGATATGTATCAATTGATCCTCCAATTAAAAGAAGTGGCCAACAATTTACTTGCGCATTAAACACTCCTGCTAAAGCGTGTACAACCCCTGGCCCTGATACCACTAAACAAACACCCGGACGACCTGTTAGGTATCCTACGTATCGTAATAAAAAATTAATATTATTGAACAAAGTTAAAGTAAAATAAGAATTAAGCAAGATGAATACCATAAGCACTTGCAGCATAACTAAGAGATTGTTCATTCCTAAAACCAACAAATTTTATTCCTTCAGAAATTATCGCCTCTGCGACCTATGAGAATTGTAAGTGTAAATTTAACAGCTAATTGGTCATCAAACTTGTATTTTATTACCTCTATAACAGGTATACCAACTATACCAAAAACCACATCAACACCTTGCTTTTTAAGTGCTTTAGCAATTAATTCTGCACCCGTAATTTTATTATTTTCCATTTATGTGTGAGAAATTTAATTTTATAACGATTTTTAAAGTTACAATTCTTGATTCAATCAGCCAATCAAATTAAAAAAATTTTTTTCTTATCTCGAAGAATTTTATTGATAATCTCGATAAAATATAAAAAAAACAAGCTTTTCTTTTTTTTAAAAGAGAAAAATGCCAGATATATTATCATCTCTCTTTTCTTCAAACCCATATTTTTCCGCAGGAATAGGAGTACTTGGGTTTGGAGCAGGTTTAGCAGCATTACGGCAAGGTTTAGTCAGAGGAAGTTATTTGGCACGTAGAAAGTTACTGGTCTCGCTTGAAATTCCGTCCAAAGACAAATCATATCAATGGTTTTTATATTGGATGTCAAAACAATTAAGTAATAATTCGCATAGTAATACACATCAATACGCGGTACAAACGTCATTTAAACAACATGATAATGGAAGCATAAGTACAACATTTAGTCTTGTACCGGGACCAGGTAAACATTATTTTAAATGGAGAGGAGTATGGATGCAAGTGGAGCGACAAAGAGATGCCAAATTGTTAGACATTACAAGTGGGTCACCATGGGAAATAGTTACGCTCACAACATTAAGTAGAGACAAGTATATATTTTCAGAATTATTACAAGAATCGAAAAAACTTGCATTAGAACAAGAAGAAGGAAAAACTGTTATCTATACAAGTTGGGGACCTGAATGGAGGCCATTTGGTTTACCAAGAAAACGTAGATTATTAGATTCCGTGATATTAGATAAAGGTATTAAAGAACGTATTGTACAAGATGTTAAAGAGTTTATTAATAATGGTCTATGGTATAATGAACGAGGTATACCTTATCGTCGAGGCTATTTGTTATATGGACCTCCTGGAAGTGGGAAAAGCAGTTTTATACAGGCACTTGCTGGTGAACTAGAATATAATATTTGTATATTGAATTTAAGTGAACGTGGACTTACTGATGATCGGTTGAATCATTTATTAAGCAATGCTCCTGAACGAAGCATAATGTTATTAGAAGATATTGATGCTACCTTTACTCAAAAGCGTCTACCAACAGATCAACAAGGGTAAGTTCGTTAATCGCAAGAAGCAAATTTCCTCTCAAGTGAATTCTTTTGACAAATAAAAAAATAACGATTTGAATGAATTTCTTATTAGATATCATTCAATGGTTACATTTAGCGGATTATTAAATGCGTTAGATGGAGTAGCATCATCGGAAGAAAGAATAATTTTTATGACAACAAACCACGTGGAATTGCTTGATAAAGCATTGGTTAGACCAGGTCGTATAGACGTCAAAGAACTATTAGATAATGCAAGTGATCATCAAATTAAGACAATGTTTTTAAGATTTTACGGAGGAGAGAATCTATTAGCAGAAGAATTTGTACAAAGTGTTAAAGGTAAAAACGTTAGTATGGCTCTATTACAAGGTCACTTTGTTTTCTACAAGAATGATCCAAAATGTGCCGTACGTTATGCCAATTCTATTATTCAGGATGCATAATTTAATATATTTCTCGAAGGGAAAACGATTATTTAAAATAAATTTAATTTAATTAAAGTTTTCACATGAATGATATTTCCAGAAACGAATAAAACGTAAATGAACCACCCTTTTTTTAAAATAATATATAATCAATCATATTTCGAGCTTTCTATTTATGTTTAATGTCCTGTAAAAATGGAAAATTCGATTTTTTTTAAAAGTAGTTTATGAATCAAGATTTTATCAGCCAAGAAAAGATTCGGCGCGAGATTCTTGGCAAAATTAGGACAATTTTTCTAATTTTTCTTTCCTTTTTTCCCGGCGAAATCTTTTTTGGCAAAATCATTATCATCTACCAAGTACATATATGGTGATTACTTTGTTTAGCCATAAATATAAATAGTTTCACCATTTCATTTTTAGGTCGTAAATGAAATTCTGAAATCATGTTCATTAAATAAGCTGATGTTCAAATTTCTCGTAAATCTTTATAAATTTCCTTTGTATTTCTTTTTAAAAAATTAGTTGTAGTAATAGAAATATTTAGGTTTATTATTAGTAATAGAATTACATTATCGTAAAAAGATATGGTTATTCAAGAACACGGAAATCTTAATAACTATGTATTATTGAAGGGAGAAACTAAAGGTGTAATTGAAGTGAGAGATTTTTTAACCAAGGAACTTATTTATATAAAGAAACGTTTTAAGGTAACTCATAAATTTTTTATAAAGTAAATATAACTTTCTAAAACCAAAAAAAAAGGGGGAAATAAAATAACTAAAGTACTTCCAAAAAAAAAAAAAAAGGTTCCTGGTGCGTATGTATCCAAGTTACTTGACCCAGTGTCTCAAGCCGAATTAGCCGAAGTACAAGGAAAGAGATCAAACGCAAAATTAAAACAAATTATATTATATCAAGTAAATAACCTTTCTTTTTTTTTAAAAAAAAAAAAGTTTTACTTTGTTTTTTCCTTTTTTATTTTTATTTTTATTTTTTTTTCAGAGAAACATATTAAGAATAAAATTTTTCAAATTCTTTTGATTAGCCAGATGATATTATAGATTTAAAGGACAGTGGAGTGTTAACATTCGAATATAAATTTTATTGGGAAGACGAAAAATATTTATGGAAAAAAAGAAATATAGGGTTTAGTAAAGAATTAGAATGTAAATTGGTTCATGGAGATGATCCAGGTATAGGAGTATGTATGTTTAAACAAGAAAGTAAAAACTTAGGTTGTTTAACAATTATGTATTATAATATGGAAAGAATACCTGTACGTGATAGGAAAGGGTTAGAATATTTATTGGTTATGACATTATTATCTTTTCTGGATAAATGGGATGATGATAATATTTCCAAGCCAAAAAATGAATTTATACTTGGGGAAGAATCAAATGGTGATTTCGTAGAATTACTAGAAAATAGAAAGAAAAAGAAACCCGATAAAAAGAGTGAAAAATTAATCATACAATTAGCGGAAGAAGAAGCTAATATGCAAGAACAATTACGTAACTTAAAAGAACAAGAAAAGAAAGATGAAGAATATGCCAGACAATTACATGAGGAAGAATTAAGATCTTCGAATCCTAATTACAATGAAAAAGACGAAAACGTAATGTCTAACCAAAATAACTCGACTTCAAATGATTCACATGATACTTCTCGATTAAATTCCATGAGGCCCACTAATAGTATTGCGGATGATTCAGCAGGATTTAACAAAACACCAAATTCGAACTCATCAAATTCAATAGCAGATCCTAACAAGGAAAAGACACTTCCACCGCCTCCACCACCAGCTTCATCATCATCAACATCATCGACAATAACTGCATCATCTACAAGCACTTACCCATCCACAAATGCAACAATTCCATCACCTTCTTCTGAACAAGAAGAATATTACAGAAAACGTCCCCCACCTTCTCCACCTTCTGCTGTTATACCCCCAAAACTTCCTCCAAGAGTTCCTTCATATTATTCAGATAACTCCAATTCGCTTCCTCCTTCATTATTTCCTCCTTCAACACTTCCTCCAGGAGTTCCTTCCTATTATCCAAATAATTCTAATACGCTTCCTCCTTCAACACTTGCACCAGGATTTCCCTCCTATTATCCAGTTAACTCTAATTCTAATCCTTCACTTTCTCCAGGAGTTCCGTCCTATTATTCGGATAGCTCCTCTTCTTCACTTCCGCCTAATTCATATCCCCCTCCTCCTTCTTGGAACTCGTCTTATCCTAACACCGCTTATACTTACACTACAGCAACAGAGAATAATTATAATCCTTATGTTATGCCAATGCCCTCAATACCCTCATTTTCTAGTCAATATCCTCCTAATTATTATAATAATGGTATGACTTCACCACCTACTGGTTCAACAGGTCCTTCAGGATGTGGTGAGAATTATAGTATGGCTGATTCTCAGTCTACTAATTCTTATCCAAATCCTGCAAGCACAAATTATCCTCCTGTTCCTGGATCTATTCCTTATAACAATTATCCTCCTCAGTTTGGGAATCCTAACGATAATATATATAGTGGGTATAATACGGGAAATAATGGATTTAATAATGGATATAACAATGGGTACGGTGGTGGATTTAACCAGTAATATTTTATGGACAATGGTTTTCGCTTTCACGTTGATCTTATCATTTGATCGATTTTTTAGAAATTTTTTTTTTTTTTTTGTGTAGATATCTGTATATCGTATTATTTATTTTGTATAAATTAATAAAAATTACTATATTGAGTAATAAAAATATATTATACTTTATTACTGACAATTTTAATCGGAAAAAAAAAAATACTTTTGTCTAATTTAATTACAACACAAAAACATTTGCATATATATATAACAATCAATTTAACAAATAAAAAAAATAAAAATAAATAAAAAGATTGTTACATGTAAAAATGCATAATTACAATATTGTAAAAACAATAAAAATTATTTCGATGAAATTTAAAGAAAATTATATGGTTCTTATTTGTTCAATAACCTTTTTTTACTTTCTTTATGAAATGTAAGTTCTTTAAAAGAAATTTTTTTTTTATTTCTTTTTAGTTAAATAAGGTTATTGATGATAATAATATCAGATAAAAAAACGTCACGTCAAACTTTATTGAATTATATAATGATGTATTATCCAAAGTGAAATTGATGCTTTCCATTATGATATCCACTAGATCTTTGCCTTGGGAAACCCTGTGAAGAGAATCCTCCAAATGAAGATCCATGGAATCCTGAATTACCACCAAATCCTCCCCTTGGACCTCCTCCCATATTAGGGATTTCACCTCCCATAAACATTTGGAAGAATAGATTAGGATCTACTTCAAAGTCCGATGATCCATTTAATCCATCAATATCTACTCCACTATCATATCTTTGTTTCTTGTTTGGATCCCCAAGAATTGCATAAGCTTCTCCAATTTCTTTAAATTTAACTTCCGCATCAGAATCTCCACAATTTTTATCAGGATGATGTTGGAGTGCTAATTTTCGATATGCTTTTTTAATATCATTCTCAGATGCATCTTTACTTACTCCAAGAATCTTATAATAATCCTTTCGTTGTGACTTTTTGAGTTCTAATTCAGCGTTTCTTAATTCTTTACGAATTTCAGGATTATTACTTTCCAATTCCATCGCAAGTTTTAAATCTTGTACAGCTTCCTCATATCTTTCTAATTTGATGTACGTATCTGCTCTTCTCCTTAATACTTTGACAAAATTAGGATCTATCTCTAATGCTTTACACATATCACTTAATGCTTCAGTATATTTTCCAAGTTTAACTAGAACCGCTGACCTATTTGAATAAAGCTTAGACATCATGCCCGCATTTGATGGATCGATTTCAAGAGCTGCACTATAAATATCATATGCTGATTTATAGTCCTTTATTTTGAAAGCATCGTTACCAGCCTTCTTTTGACTTTCAAGTGCTCTTGATTTCTTTAAAGAATCGTATTAGCAATAATTAAAGGAAATAGTGTTAGAGAAAATAATGAATTTATTAATTAAATACAAATTTTATGATTAATCAAACTAATCCCATTAGATGAATTAGTTACCTTCAGTAATATACGAGCTTTTGAATTATCTGGGTCGCAACGCAATGCTTCCTGACAGTGAGCGGAAGCCTTCAAATTATCACCCTCGATGTACAATATTCGTGCTCTCAACACATGAGCATCGGGGTTTTTTGGATCTGAACGTAAAATTTCACTAAAAAACAAACATAATATGTATATATATAATATTCTTAGTTAGAAATTCATAGGACATAAAATGGATTTTTTTTATGATTATTTACTTCGCCATCCTTCCTGCTTCTCCAAATTCTTTTTGTTCTAATAGTGCTTCACTCTTCATTATTTTCCATTTGGTTGGAATTTCATCCAAAGAGGTCGCTGCTCTATCAATCGCATTCATTGCCAAAGCGTATTGCTGATTTTTTAAATATACTTCTGCTTGGTGAATGTAATTTTGAACTTGGAGTAACTGCGCATATTCAGCTTTTGCTTGTGAGTTCGTATCATCAATGCTTAGTACTTGTTTATAAATTCTTTCGGATTCACTTAGGTTACCAAGTAAAAAATTACATTTTGCACAACGAATGTAAGCTTTAATTAATGATGGATCCAAAGTAATTGCGAATTTACAATCACTTAGTGCTTCTTTTGGTTTCCTCAACATCATCAAAGCAGCGGCTCGGTTGTTGTAATATGTTGGAGTATTTGGATCAAGATCTGTAATATTGAAAATTGAAAAGGTTGAATAATGTGTAATCGAAATTAACCATGAGTTGAGATTTTTATTTTTTTCGCGAGCACCTCGAGCATCTCGAACACCTTCATTTATCGATATATGATTAGGGAGTGTGTAGGCTTACGTCCAAGCCACTCTTGTATATACCGTAGAGCACTTACATAAACCCTTGTAAAAAGTACGCTAAGGGTATTGCAGACATTTCATCGAAACATACAGTAAATATATTGTAGTTCTGATTAAGTACTCAAAATATTACTCGAGTCCTTTACAAATTTGTAAAAATACCCAGTATTCCACGGTAAATGGCGTTGATTGACAATCCATAAAAATGATTTGACACCTAATTAACTTACCTATAGCTTGGGTATATAAAGAAACGGCTCGACTATAGTTTCCACGTTTATAACTTTCGTTTGCTTCATTTTTAAAGTCTTCAGCAGAAATTGGTCTAATTGAATCCAAAAAAAAAAAAGATCAAGAACCCATAATGTTATTGAATCTCTCAATTAAAGCCTCGCTTTAGAATTCTGAATACTTTCAGAAGACAAAATGGTTATAAGAAGATATTCTAAATGTCTTTCTCGATTGCTATTGTGATATTATTATTATTTATTTAAAATAAATAGATTCTCGACCTGTATTCCAAATTGCAAATCCTATTGTACTATAACTATAATTATGAAACATAAAAATGTTCTTTTAAGCTACTCTTAGTCAAGAGACTTTTTTATTCTGTGAGGATCGATTCTTTTCATAGACCCAGCACATCTCGAAAATGTTAAAGAGTACTCACGCATTAAATTGTTCTGGAATATCGGTTTCCATAGCAGTGGCCATACTTATTTAGATGGTATATATAATGTAAAAAAAAAAAAAAAGAGAAATATATCCTTAAATAACTATAAAATTAAGCGAAAATTATTATGAAATTGTGTACTTTTTGAATTAAGCATTGAACCCCCTTTTTTAGGGCTAGTAAATTCAGAAATGGATCAAAAGCCTTGAGGTAAGCGCCGGATGGAAGCGCGTAGAAGGTCAAAGAAAAATCCAACTATTTCTGATAATTAAAGACATTTTGTCTATCATAGGATTTGTTTCTTTTTGCTTGTGATACTTCATTGAAACTCTGACGAATTAGATTTATTTTCTTTAAAAATAAATTACATTTGTGGCTTATGAGATAATTGCCTCTTTGGCCCAGTGGTAAGGCGTCGCTCTCGTAAAGCGAAGATCGGTGGTTCGAATCCGCCAAGGGGCTATTCATTGCATTATTTTTCTTTTTTAATAGTGATACTGGAAATCTCTGTCAATTAAAAAATTTTTTTTAAAATTGAAATACCCTCAGAATCGTAGTACAAAATTCCAAACTTTTAAATATTGACCAAATATTTACCTGCTATTTATATACGGAATTTGCTTTTTTTACCTTAGAGAGATATATATATACATCGTGTGTTTCATTAAAATAGATCATTAAAAACCAGTTTGTATAATACAAAAGTTATTAATAATAATAATATACATTTTAAAAATCACCTTGTTTCCCTTTTTTTTATTTTATTTTTTAATTTATTTTGTATTTTAATTCTTCTTTAAAAAGTGAGAGTTAGATCTGCCAAACCTTCAACGTTTAAAAGTAATAAGTTAAAAGTTTAGTTAAAATAATTAATATAAAATGGGTTCACTTGACGAAAAATCCGATGAGAAACCCTTTCTACCAGCTCCAGCAACGTCGGCATCCGCATATGCTCACCGCCAAAAACAACATTCAGCAACTGTCATTCTACTAGTGGTCGCGTTTTACTGGCTTGCTTCACTAGCAGTAGTATTTTTAAATAAATATATTCTAAGTAGTTCGGAGTATAAATTTCCATATCCATTATTTGTAACATGGTTTCAACTCTTTGTCGCATTGATTATCCTATTGGTTTGGGGAACTTTAGGACAAAGGTATTCATCAAATTGTAAAAAATGTGAAATTATCGTAAAAGGATGAGGGAAGAAGAGACTGGAGTCATCAATGCATCTGTGTTACATTTTGTACTCACTCAAATCCATGTTTATGTAAATTCTACACTTTTCGAACACGTGCAACTAGTTTTAAGACCTTTTCTCTTATCCCGCCGTATGAATTTGATATGAACATTGCCCGTAAGGTAGTCCCATTGACGTTTATGTACGTTATGATGTTGTCTTTCAACAACTTATGCTTACAATATGTAGAGGTTACATTCTATCAGGTTTGTTATATTTCAATTAAAATTGGGTGTGATCTTGGTATTTATCAAAGAATGTATTTTAAATAACTTATATATATAAACAATTAGGTTGCACGTTCACTTTCAATCATTTTCAATATCATTTTCACATATACACTTCTTGGAGCTAAAACTTCATTTGCCGCTTTAATTTGTTGTGGTGTTGTCTTCCTTGGATTCGTTATTGGTTCCTACGGGGAAATTAACTTTTCTTGGGAAGGAATCATTTATGGCGTCGCTTCCAGCGCATTCGTTGCATTGTATGGAATTTATGTTAAAAAGACCCTTAGCGCAGTAGACAATAACCAATGGTAATTAATTGTACCCTTGATACATCTCGTTCCCCTAATATTCTTTGCGTTCGACTAACTAATATCATTTGATTATCATCTTTAGGCGACTTCTCCATTATAACACAACTTTATCAATATTTTTCCTTTTCCCATTAGTACTCTTTTCCGGTGAATTACAAGGCATTGTCAACGTGTATTTCTTGGATGATTGGGGATTTTGGACATTGATGACTATCACCGGTATCACCGGTTTCGTCATCAATATTGCAATGTTCTTGCAAATTAAATTCACAACACCTTTAACCAACACAATTTCAGGAACTGCAAAGAGTTGTTTCCAAACTGCTTTGGCAGCTTGGTATTTCCAAAATCCAATTTCACCTTTGGTAAGTTCAAACCGTTAGATCTTCACGATATTGATCTCCTATCATTAATGAATGGCTTCTTTTCCAAATTAATTAATAGAACGGAACTGGTATATTTCTCGCTTTATTCGGTTCAGGTTTATATTCTTGGGTACGATACAAGGAAATGCTTCGAAAATAAGTTATATTTTCTATTTTTTTTTTTTTTATATAACTTAATCGTACGAACATTTTTTATATATATACATATACAATTTAGAATATTTGATTACCTGAGAATGAACATAATAATAATAATAATAGACTTATTATATGATGTTACTTGTGGTTAGACATAGTTTATAAATTAATTATTATATTGATTAATAAAATATTCAAAAAAAAAAAAGTTGCAATTTATATAATTTCTTTATTTAACATAAGCCATATTAAATAATGTGCCACAGTGGCTTTACAATTATTAATTTCTTTCATGACTGCGGTATATGTATCGTGATCGATTATCTAGCTCTATAACGTATGATTCAACAATATAATTTACAAGTATACAGACAAACTAATGTAAAAATCGGGTTTTTTTTATGTGGCTTCGGACTTAACATAAACCAAATCCTTGCTAAAAGCAAGAAAATTATACACAAACAAATTTAAAGCCTATCTATAATACATTTTACTATGTTACACTCCAGTTAAAGGATTGATTGGTTCAAGGGGCGCGGGTCAATCTATATGGCTTCGTTATAGGCTTATAGGAAAAAAAAAATTTTCGAGAAGTAGAAAAAAGGGCTTTGCTGATCGATCGATTCCTTTGTGATTTGACAAGTTTTACGTATTTATTGATATTACTCCGATAGTTAAAAATTGATGACACCCGATTATTTTAGTGTAAACTACTAACTTTAAACTGGCGGCTTGGCTGTTATGTGGCGTGGTAGATGTAACATCTTTTTTTTTGTACTATTTCGATTTTGGACAATTCATTTGTCAAGGGCAATTCGAACTTTTGCCTTTCTTTTAACGACCAAATTTTAATTTTACGAAAAATCTCTTTAATGTCTCTTTGATTATTATACTATTTTTATTTTTTGTTCTTATAGGGTGCACAAGAAAATCGAATAGTTTATAAAAAGTTATTAGCTTTTAAACATGGAACCAATTGACGAGAATTCAGCGCAAAGCTCAGCTCCTAGTGAATCATTACATACGGTTCCAATCTATAATTTAGACGCGTCGTCTTCCGATAGTGATTCTGATGACCAAGGACGTATGGGCGGTCCTCCTGTAGGACCTCCAATAGATACAAGTATTTTATCACCAAGCATTCCTCAAACTTCACAGCGTCAACGACAGGTACCACAACGTCCTTATGCTTCAATGCCAAGACATGAGAGACAACTTTCAGAGCTATCTGCTGTAGCAGAATCTGTACAAACTAGACCTAGTGTTGATGAAGATTACCTTTTTGATGAAGATTCCACCAGCGAAGAAGAACCTTTTCAACCAAATCCCATTTCCGGTAGATTATCAAGTCAAACTGAAATGACACCTCAATCGGTTGCTAGTCCAATTACTCAATATGAATCTCATACTGTTGCTGATGTCCCGATTACTTCTTCTAGAACGGATAATCGAGGATTAAGACCTTTAAGTTTACTGGGTGGTCTTGAACCATCTCGAGGTCTTAATGCAGATGTGGAGAAAGGATTATCTTTACATACGAAAGGTTCGCATTTACATTTCGAATCGCCAGCGGTTTATAAATTGAAGCATTACTAAATGTGTAAACATTTTATATCAATTCTTAATTCTGATTGATGTCGAAAATTCTTTGAAATCGCTTATTTATAAATTTTTTTAGAAATAACGTCATCTGAACCTAAACCACGTGGAATAACTAAAGAAACAGCGTCAACGGAACATCCAAGTGATACAGGAGGATATCGTCGCTCAAGAGATGCAGAACATATGTATCATCATCGTGAATCTTCGGACCTTTTACCATTAACTCTTGTGTCAGGAGGAGGTGCACTTTCGTTTTCATCTCATTATGCATATCTTCCTCCCCCCTTTGGTCAAGTCATAACTCGATCACAAATAATGGCTAGAGTTGCTTGGTTTTCTCAGCTTGTCATATTCAATATAATCTACGCAGGATATAAATTAAGTTCGTCTGAACAATTGGTGGAAGGAAAAAATTCCTCATTTGATTTAATTGGATTAGTAATTATTCCACTTATTTTCTTAATTACCTATATTTTAGTTGTTACATTATGGACTTATATAGATCTGCGGAATAAAGAATATTATCCATCTTTCACGGTTTTATATTATTCCCCTCTGATGATTTTTTCAATATTTTTTGGGGAAAAGAAACGAGTTGATGTATCGAAATTTCATGAAGTAAATTATGGAGAAAAATGGTGGAGGTTTGGTGCAACATGCGTAAGAGAAAGTTTGATAATGTCATTCTATTGTTTATTTGTTATAGGGTTCGTTACATATGATATAGTAGGTAGAGCTTTCAATCAACGTAATGCTGAAGTATCAAAAGTATTTGAAGATTTTGTGCCATTTTTACTTCTTTTGGTCGTCTTTTCATTGGGATTTGTATTATCAATTTGGACTGTAATTGAAAATATTGTAGCAGGAAGTATGCATGGAAGTAGTGAAGGAAAGAAAAGTTTAGTAGGTGTATTACCGAATGCATTAAAAACAAAAAATTTATAATAATGAAATTTTTCTTTATAAAAAAAAAAAGTTTTATTCATATTATTTATTTAAACAAACAATGAATTGTTTTTTTTTTAATATGCATTAGTAATTTTATTGGAATAGTTAAAATCGAAAATTTTGTAAAAGAAAAAAAAAGTTTTATTGTAATTATATATTTTTTTATATTTTTGTATATTATTATTTTTTAAAAAAAAAAATTTTATTCTTGGTTTTTATTAGTAGAAATTTATTTTTTTTTTTAAAAAAAAATTAATTGTTATATTTTATTTATATAACTTAAATAGATCAAAAAGAAAAAAAAAAGTTATTTTGTATTATAAAAGTTATTTATCAAATTATATAATAATATAAATAAATCTTAAATATATTAATTAATTAAGATTTAAATAAAAAATAAATAAATATAATTATAATTTTAAAATAATATTAAATTTTACAAAAAAGCAGAAAATCTTATTTAAATTAAAAAAATATATTTAAAATCTATTACTAATAATATATTGTATATAAAAGTAAATTTGAATTTTTCTAGCAATTTTTTCTTTTTAAATCAAAAATTCTTATTTTATATAAATTATAAAATAAAAATATAAAATAAATAATTTGTTTATAATTTTTATTAATATTATTAATTTTTTATTTAAAATTTTATATAAATTAAATACTTTATAAATTATATAAGTAGTATACTATTCTTTAATATAATTACATTAAAGAATATTATGCCACTTAAATTAGATTATAGTATTACTTTATAATCTAAATATCATTTTATAATTTAATTATCTAAATATTGCTCATTATCATGTTATCCCTTAAATTATAGGGTTTCGCAGGCAAATTTGCCTGCTTATTTACTATAAATTTTTTTCTGATTTACTTTTATAAATAATTAATATTTTTAAAAATTTTTTTTTTTAAATTAATTATATAAATATGTAATATATTATAATAACTTTTATCTTTAATTATATAATAAAAAATGT